GGCTCCCCGCTTATGCAAATGAAGCCCGGGAAATTCAAATCCCGGGCTTCATTTGCAAGTGCGGTATGCCTACATTACCCCGCTAGTTCGAACTAGCGGGGTAGTGTAGACATACCCTATGGGTATGTCTACACTAGTCCCCTATTTCGAAATAGGGAGACTAATGTAGGCATTCGAAGTTGCAAATCAAGCCCGGGATTTAAATATCCTGCACGTGATTTGCATCTTCCTGGCTGGTCGCCATTTTTTGAAATTGACAAGTCCGGACTAACTGCCCACGTCTACAGGTACTTGCAGGAGGAATAACAGGTAGTTTGATTTAGGGCTTTAATTTGAAATACTGGGTCCCTGCCGCATGTAGATGCGGGCAGTTAGTCCGGACTCGTCAATTTCAAAAAATGGCGACCGGCTGGGAAGATGCAAATCAAGCACGGGATATTTAAATTTGCAACTTCGAATGCCTACATTAGCCTCCCTATTTCAAAATAGGGGGCTAGAGTAGACATACCCTAAGGCAGCGGTCTCCAACCTTTTTAACCACAAAATCACTTTTTCAATTTAAGTGCAATATAAGATCTACCTCAAACCCAAATACCCTCGCCCCACTGCCTTCCTGACCCTTCTTTGAGGCTCTGCTCCTGCTCCACCTCTTCTCCGAGGCCTCACTCTGCTCACTCCCTCCCCTTTCCTCCCCCATCCTCACTTTCACCAAGATGGGGTAGAGGTTGGGGTGCAGGTTTTGGTCTTGGGCTAAGAAGTTTGGAGTGTGGGAGGGGTTCCGGGTTTAGCTCAGGATGGGGGATTTAGGTCCAGGAGGGGTTTCAGAGTGCAAGCTCTGGAAAGGAATTTGAGTGCACGGGGACTCATGTCTGGGGTAGGAGGTTGGGTACAGGCAGTCCCCTGATTATGTACAAGATAGGGACTGTAGGTTTGTACTTAAGTTGAATTTGTACTTAAGTCGGAACTGGCGTCCAGATTCAGCTGCTGCTGAAACTGACCAGCGGCTGACTAGTAGGAGGTTGGGTACAGGCAGTCCCCTGATTATGTACAAGATAGGGACTGTAGGTTTGTACTTAAGTTGAATTTGTACTTAAGTCGGAACTGGCGTCCAGATTCAGCTGCTGCTGAAACTGACCAGCGGCTGACTACAAGAAGCCGGAGGCAGAGTTGCTCTGCCCCGGGATTCCTGGAATCA